GATAAACTCTAAACCTGTTAGCAGATAGCATATGAGAACTATCTCTAAATAACAGGTGCTATCTTATGCTTCCCTGCGTTGTTCTTCTTATGTTTCTACAAAGTTTATTGTATATTTTTAAAAAAATAAGTTGGAAATTTTTGGTACGAGGGATCATCAGAAAGAGTTGTGATGTATGTATATATAATTCTATATTTTGATAAAAATAATAATTATTTAGTTAATAAATATATCTTTTAAAATTTAAATTATTTAAATTAATTTATTAAATTTGAATTATGATAACTTAAATTAATTTAACAAAAATGAATATTAAATATTTTATATAAAAATAAAAGTTAAAAACAAATTAATTTAATTCGAATAGATTCGAATTTATTTAACATAATTAAAAATAGTTAATAAAATTATTTTAAATTTATTTTAACTATATTTAAAAAATTCGAATAAATTTAGACTTTTCTAAATAATAATATTTCGAAGTTTATCAAATATTAATTTGAAATATAAAATAGAAATTATTTTATGCATTAATATTAATTGTATTTTAATAACTTGAATCACAATTAATATAATAGCTTAGAACAGATTAAATTAAATGAAATCGAATTAATTCGAATTAATTCGAATTAATTCGAAATCATTTGAATAGATATGAATTATTGCGAATCATTTTTAAATTTAATTAAAATAATAATAATAATATAACTGATAAATCTTTTATAAAGAGAAATAAGAATATATTTATTTAAAAAAAATTTTATATTTTATTTAGAAGTTTGTTGTAGTTAGGATTAATAACTAGTATCTTCAGAAGGTAGAAGCAGATTAGAAGAAGTTGAAAGATCTTCAGTTGGATGATCAAATTCAAGTAAGTTCGAATTATCTTGATCAGTATCGATTGTATATATTGATGATGGATCATATGTAGAGGTAGCTATACGTTTTTTCTTTTTTGAACTTTGAGTAGTAATAGTAGATATGGGGACCCTCTTACATTTTTGACCCTGCTTACTTGATGATTGTGTTGGTTCAGTTTCTTCATCTTCAGTTAAAGATTCTTTATCGTCAGTAGTGGGGAAGAGAAAGGTAGTGCCTGCTACTAACTTATCCTTTATTAATTAAATTTAAAAAATTAGAATTAATTTAAGATTATTAATTATAATTAAATATATATTACTTACTATATTTTTATTTAATCTATTTTTTTGTAATTTCATCGCTCATAGTTAGCTTTTCATAATGAGTGTTAAGCATTATTTGGCATACTATAATTGTGTATGCCAATTGCATATTAGTTGGTATAGCAGTAGGCCATGCTCTTGCAAGTATTTGAGTAAAATAGGTTTCATCTGTATCTTCTTCAATGGGAGTGAACAATTTTCAAAAACATGATTTAGTTTTAGAAGAATTTTTCCATGCTGAAATAGCTTGAGGCATGGCAGTTGTATTAATAGGATCTCCTCAAAGACAGAAAAAATGGATTCCTTAATTTTCAAAGAAACTTAGCTTCGACAAGCACAATGCTGGCTTAATAACTAATTATATATTATTCGAATTAAATTTATTGAGATCAAATTAGTTTGAATTATATTAATATTATAAGTAAAATAATAAATATATATAAAGTGAATTAATTTAAATAAAATTAAACAAAATAAAT